AGAGACATAGTGAGAGCAGGAACACAAGCAGAGGGAGTGGGAGAGGAAGAAGCAGGCTTCCCGCCGAGCAGGGAGCCCGATGTGGGGCTCGATCCCAGGACCCTGGGATCATGACCTGAGCTGAAGGCAGACGCTTAATGACTAAGCCACCCAGGTGCCCCTAGAACAGGTTTTAATACCTGGCAAGATGAGCTGGTCCCTCGGGCACCTGGATGGCTCAGTCGTTAAGTGTCTGCCTTCAGCTCAGGTCATGATCCCAGGGTCCTGGGATCGAGCCCCACATCGGGCTCCCTGCTCGGCGGGAAGCCTGCTTCTCCCTCTCCCACTCCCTCTGCTTGTGTTCCTGCTCTCACTATGTCTCTCTCTGTCAAATAAATAAAATCTTTAAAAAAAAAAAAAAAAAAAAAAGATGAGCTGGTCCCTCTCCCCCTTCTTTTTTGAGGTGGTTTTCTTGTCTCTAAAGCTCAGTTTGGGGGTTTCATCTTCTCCAGAGCTTTCCTCTGTCCCCCACCTCACACCAGGCCGGGCGTCACCCCTCCTTCCTCCAGACACTTCTGTTGCTTTTCGGGACTGCTCTTTGTGTTCATGTTCTCCGCGTTTCTGAGGAAACGGTCCGGCTTGTGGCCCGGTCTGAGAGTGACCTATGGGACAGGGTCCATGGTGGGCATCCAGGCACCTTGGCCTGCCTGGCACTGCCCCTGCCCTGACCGTCTGTCCCCGCAGGCTACATCGGCGTGGTAAACCGCAGCCAGAAGGACATCGAGGGCAAGAAGGACATCCGTGCGGCGCTGGCGGCCGAGAGAAAGTTCTTCCTCTCCCACCCGGCCTACCGGCACATGGCCGACCGCATGGGCACCCCGCACCTGCAGAAGACCCTGAATCAGGTACGGCCAGGGTTTTGTGCCCGTGTAGTCCGCTACGCTGCTGGCCGTGGTCCAGAGCAACACGGGTCCCAGCCACATTTGGTTCGGGGCCTGACGAAGGGGGGTTGTTCCGTGAGTCTCTAGCGGCACAATTATCTCCATTGCTGTTATTGTTGCTTTTATTTTAATTATAATTAAATACTTGGAATTGTCTAATCAGCGTACCCAGAGGTTTGCATACAGTTCCTGGTGTCGGTGACCTGGTGACAATGGCCTGGCCCTCACCAAGGCAGGGTGCCCGGGAGCACTGGACGGGACCTCTGCGGGGCCGAAGCCCAGCCCCACCTCTGACCGGGTGGCCCAGCCTGTCCGAGCCCCTGTCCCCTGGGTGTCAGCTGGGAACCATCACCGGCCGCTCTTTCTGTACTGGGAACGTATTCTCAGCTTTCGGAAACCACGAGCATGCCGTGAGGTGCCCCCGTCTGCCCCCCCTTCCACCCGCGGGACCCACTGTCAACTGTGCCTGCGCTTCTTTCTGTCCATAGAAGCAAAAAGGACTTTCGAGAATCACAGTTCTCCCTTTCTTACCGTAAAGGATGACGTAGTTGTGGATGCCTCTTCCCTCCGCCCCCGGCCCACCCCGCCCCGCATTTGGGTTTTTCTGCTCAGCGCTATCTCCTGGAGCCCTGGCCGGGCCGAAAAGCACCCTTCCCCGTTCTTTCTCATGGCTGCGTCGTGGTCTCTGAACGCACGGGCCACAGGCTGTCCCGCCAGGCTCTCTTTGGAGAGCGACCACGAAGGTGGCCGTTAATGTGAATACCGTCGTACGGCTCGTGTGTGGATTTCTCTGGAGAGTAAAATCCCTGATGGGGGATTACGTAGGCACGCTGTGACAGGCCGTGTCTGTCCTTAGGGTCAGTCCTGGTTTGTCCACCCAGGGTTGCAAGACGTGCCCTTTGGATACTTGGTGGCAGCTTCCCAGAAGGGGGGAGGAACTCAGAGCCACAGTCAGGCAGGCGGTGGGGGCACAGTGGCAACGCCCAAGCAGGGCTGTGTCCTCAGGAAAGGCATATTTCAAATGTGGGGGCGCAGCCTCGGAGCACGTCCCCAGATGAAGGCACGATGGGGGCCAGGAAGAGCCAGTGCAGAACAGGAAGGCAGAGGGGGCAGCTGAGGGGAGCAAAGGGGACGGAACGTGTCCAGTGGGAGGAAGTGGTTGGCCTGGGCGAAGAAGGGGGAAGAAGGGAAGTAAAATGCCCCGCAGTTGGTGGGGGCCTCCGCTGAGGGCTGGCACGCAGGCAAGGGGCCTGGCTGGCCTCTGGGGGGCCTGGCTCTGCATCGTGGCACTTCCTGGAGCTGTGCCCACCCCCGCCCCGCATTTCCCCGTGAGCACAGCGGGGCTGCTCTCGTGCTCTAGGATGCTGTCAGACACTGGGGTGAAGGTCTGTAGAGCGTGTAGCCTCCATGCCCCCCTTAAAGGCCTGCGGCTCCCACAGAGGGGTCTGGGACCAGCCGCTGGGGCAGGGCCCCCAACCACAGAGGACTTCAGCAGGGCCATCAGATTCATAAGCACCGAGTGTGAGGCTCCCTCACACCTTTTTTGTAGCTTGAGGATGGATGCTAGTAAATTCTTGTCTGTTGTGGGAAAGATGGCAGCAAGGGCTTCTTTTCACTTTTAGGGTATTAGCTGCTTTTATGGCTTTTGTTTTGTTCCCTCCCTCCTGCCCCCGCGTCTCTCTTTCTCTCTATTAA